CATGCGCATTCACTTGTTACGAAAAGATTGGGTGGACGTCGAGGTGTCTTAAACTTGCTACCCGTAAGAGGTCGGATTAAAGGTTAGCAATGCACGACCACATTAAGTGAATGTTACAGAATAAGGAATTGTAAGGCTTGGATGGTTGAGTTTCCTGTTTTAAATTATTCATTTGACCTATTCTTTAGCCGTTTGTCACCTCGGTGGTCGCTGTACGATTATTTAAATTTTGGAACTTTTTTTGTGTTGGTATGTTTTAATTTAACGTTGGTTAAATTTCAAGATGTCACGGTTGCTAAGTAATGTTTATATTTCCATAATGAGTACCCGTGTTAATTTTTTTGCTCTAATTTAGCATCGAATCAGCATGATTTTAACGTTTCGGGACTTAAAAGTAGCTATCTGTTAAGTACTTGCAAATTCCGGATGCGAAACGCTATATTCTAACCATATTTTTGCATTTGGCCTTAATCTAGGATCTCATTGAGCGCAATGCTCAGTGGAACGAGAATGCTGGTGAGTGGCACTTGCGCTGCGTCGCGTACGCTGGTAATAACATTCACAGGCCACCGGAGGACGAGGGCAGCGTTTTGGTAAGCTTGATTATCCTTGATGTTTTTGGAGAACAAGTTTAGTTGTTTAGCGAAAACAATTTACTGATTTGAAAAAATGTGGCTGCATTTCTCGTAGGTGTTGGTCAAACCAAAAAAATTTAGCTGCACGCGCAGTAAGTCCACCCCTATTTTCAGACACTCGCCTTTGGACAAGCCTGGTGTGTCAAAACATTGGACCTGGTGTACAAATACTCAAGCGTATAATTGCTCCACGATTTCTTCTGAAAGGATTTGGAGTATTTCTCGTTTTTTGGAGGCCGTTTACCAAAGTCATTAACATGTGTTTTTTCCCATTGTTTTAGATAGCGGATGACTATTTGCCCAATGTCTACATTAGCTACAAGAGTGAAGGATTGGTAAAGCACAAAAAAAGGGAGCCCAAGGGGAGGAAAAAGTGTTAATCCAATAAAAAATGGGATAAATCAGTGCGTTAATGGTCTTTTGTGGTGTTGGATATGGTGAGAATAAGTATCAAGTTAGTTTCAAACAGGATCAATCGTGAATGTTTGGGAAAAGCAGGCAAGTCACACATCAAAAACAGGTTCATGGGGGAATTTATCCAATTATAAAACAATAAAATTTGTGTAATATTTTAAAGTAACACCTCTAATGTACTTAAATGGTTGGTGATTTTTTTTATAAAGTTAGGCTATTTCATCCCGAGAAACCTCATTGATAACTAGCAGAGCCTACCAATCAGGACATTAAGAAGGAAGTGAATGCCCTCACGAAATTTATGTAGTTAGTAAAAATGGTTGTTCATTTTACGCAGTAAACGCACCTTTCTGGGTTTTGGTTTTGTAGGGACCCAGAAATGTTTAGATCTTTGTGGGAGTATTTAGCTGATCTTTGCAATTAGGTCAATGATGACACATTTTTATCTCAATTTCAGCCTTAAATGAAAATTCGACATTTCTATTAATATAAATTGTGTTCAAACTCAATTTTTACTCCTTAGATTTCTTAACTGGTATCTTTAAAACTTGTTTTGCTAAAAAAATTGCCTTGCCACAAATCAAGCTAAAGCCACGATAAAATCCAAATATATGGTTTTTCACCGGATTGTATTTGCAAAGATCCCAGTTTTATGTTAGAAGTCAGTCGTATTTGTATTACATTTCTGAGGCCTCGATAAATGTTATTGCATCTCATACTTCTCAATCTTCATTGTATTCAAGGTTGTGTGACGAGAGTCTAATATTTTAAGCGGATGATATGTTAATCAGAGACTGGCTAGTTGGTGTCTCCCCTCTGATAACAAGCGTGTGTGGTCGCGGTGGCGGCGGCGGCGGCCGGCGTCTGGCTGGCTCGCATCGCCTCGTCTTTGCCAAGTGTCTGATTAACCCTGCGTCAGAATCTAACACTCCTCTTAAATGCTTCTCTTAAATGAATCCATCGTGGGTAAAAGCTCTAGAAGTAGGAATTTATGGCATCGGGATGGGTTGGATTGGTTCAAGCCTTGCAATGCTAGAAGTATTTTTGCGTGAATGTAGAGGCCTTAAGCGGCGTCTAAAATAAACATTTGGAAGCATGAACATACCATTAATTGTCTGCGCTACTTTTCCGTACATATGTCAATGGAGAAAACTGTGCGTCTATAAATAAACTAGCAAACTGAACACGGTGTAAGTTCGAGTTATGTAGTCAGGCAAACAAATTGTTTTTAAAATAATTTGGTCCTATTGTTGTAATTTAATGACAACATAACACTAATTGTGAAGAGTTGATACACATCGATTTTGTTACTTATAATACAATTGATAACTAGAATTGATTTTTGGTTAATTGAACAAAGGAAGAATTTTTTACGGCTACGATCATAATTTACACAATATAATCAGCAAAAATGTTTTTAAAAATAATTAGCTGGGGTCAAACTGAGTTACTGATGCCTTTTACTCACATTCAAAAACCATTTGAACCTACTGAAATTAGCTCTTTAAAGACTTAAAAAACTATTGAATCTGCAACTCTCTGTTTTGAATACGCTGTTAGTTTTAGTATTATGGCCTAAGTTAACTCTAATTTGCGAAGCCAAAACTACAATGACAAATAATTAGTGACTTACATATCAGTAGTCCAAAGTCCGTTAAATTGCAGAATCACGTGTTATAGAGTTTATAAATTGTAGTGAAATCTGGTCAAGTACTAATAAAAGCAGGACTTTGTGGCAAATTTGGCCATTCTATAAACAACAAAGCATGATTAATGAATTCGAGATTTGGAACTTATTTAAGCATTCTTCTTGTTTTGAAGTCAGCGTCATTCGTACTCTGAACAACTGAATTTTTGTTTCGAAAATGCAAACAAAGATAATGTTGCTGTTGCTTGGTAGTAAGTACGTGATTAGTAAACGGTGTTTATCTCGTGGTCTGTGAGAAGCAATATAGACCTATCTGCGATGTTGCATAAATGAACGCCAAGCATTTTTTAACTGAGAGCTGATCCAATTTTGCTAGGAGTATTTTATGATTTTACTGGGACCTAAAGGACAAAGTAGAATCTTTCACGTGTTGCTGCTTTCCCATCCTAATTATGTTTAATGTCAATTTTTACGTGGATTTTAAATGGCTACTGTCTTCGTCCTTCAAGTTAAATTTAAGCTTACAGTAAATAGTTAAGTTTGCAATTTTAGTGTGTACACTTTGTAGTCATCTTTCGATCCAAAACCTAATGTTTGTTTGTACAAAAAGGTGCATATTTATAATTGTTGGTAGTTCTGTTTGCATTATTCTAAATTTCCTTTGTTTATCTCCAGTAAAAAAATACCCCCATTTATACTCCTGTCTTTCCGTTAAGAGTATTTATTTTTAATACCGACCGTATAAACTAGGTGGATGGGTCGATAGAACAAAATCTTACATTATACTAATTTTTACTTTTAAATCAACTTTGCTTTTTTCGAATTCATTGTGCTTTCCTAGTTTCAACGGTGGTGTTACTGACCAAAGTAAATTATAGGGCTGTGCTAATAGGCATCTTGTCTCACTTCTCTGTAGAGTCATTTATTATGTTTAAGAAGCTGAAATATGGAAAGAAAAAGGAGAGACAAGGAGGCTTTTGAGGAGAAACCAATTTGGACCAGACAGAACAGTTTCAGCTTTTCATTTGCACGCAACGACTTGGTTTAGATTTAAGTGAACAGCATGTTACTGCTGCGTGTTGGGAATCTATTCAGACGGCAGATAGACTTTTGTTCAATACAGTAGCGGCAACCTGGTATTGTTTTGCGCAATGCGTTAAACCGTCCACACTTTACATAAATGTCTTCTTAAGTTTCAAGTTCCGTCCCCAGCTACAACTGAACGCTTTTTGATACCATGCAAATTGTAAATGATTTATGGCTTCAAGGTTGTACAATTGGCCTTTTAAATAAAGTGAGTGAACGCGACCTCAACACATACATTTACGCTTTTGCCTAAATTTCAAATTAGAGTCACTCAGCTTATTTCGTTGCAAATTAGACACAGAAACGGTCAACACAGTAGTTATAATCTGTTGCCGATTCGTTCTTCTAATGTTGTCGTCACGCCATCGATAGACAGTTAGGCCCAAGTCAATGCCTTGGAGGTGCAAGTTGAGTGTCCCAGCTGACTGCGTTTCGATAATTGGTGTTTAATTAAATGAGGCAAACTTTTAGTGCGTTTCTTTAAATTCCTTCACTTGAGTAGCATTCAACACCTGGATCAGTATTGTGAAAATTGTTTACGTTTCCTTAAATGACCTACTGGGTGTGGATGACAAACTTTACCGTACTAACTTTGCGTCACGTTCTAATTATACGCATAGAATTCAAGCTTCGCTACCGCTATGTTGTTGGTGGTCATGGGTTGCTAACCAAAGTTGTTTTTGTCAGTCTAACTATGGAGCTGCATAGATATTATGTTTCGTAACTTTTATGTCTCAGTGTTTTCTCGTTTACCTTATGTAAGAATTAAAGTTTAGCTTAAACTTGAAAACCTTTAGCAATAGTTCTAGTTTAATTAAGTGAAATATTCAAGAACCAGAATACCTAGGTGAAAACAACAGGAAATTTCTATTGATCGTTACTTAATTTAATCTTTTTAATTACTTTAGGCATTCCTGAGTTGGCGCAGTCAATACTTCCACGTTAAGGATACTTGTCGTTCTACAAACATTCCTATTCAAATTTTTACTGTCAGAATAAATTTATAAACACGGCTGGCAAATTATGCTTGGACTAATGCAAATATAAGTTGCTTTAAAACTTATTTGGAATGACCTAAAAAGCATGTCAAAGGAATTGACACGCACGAATGAATTTATGGACTTCATGGTCTTCTATGTTGTGCATTCAATGCCACTGTGTATATGGAGAAAGTTTGTTAATCCACGAACAATTCAAACGACTTTGAATACAAAATCTCGTAATATCTGTCACATTAGTCCTTAGTACATCTGAGATTGGTTCTAATTCAAAACATAGGTTGATTCCAAGTCTCATTCTTAGAACCTTCCATTTGCGTTATTTAGATAGCATAAAACAATTTCTTTAAAGTCACTCCCCCAAGCGATAAAAAGATGGAACTCTTCGATGACTTCAAGAATGCTATTGCTCCTATTTATTGATTTCCTAACAACATATTACAGTTTAAATGTAATTGTAATTTAGTACCATCAGCCCTAAATTTTGTTCACACAAATAATTTATATTTAGAGTTTCCGATATTACTCGGGTTCACATATCCTTACGTAATGCAAACGCGCAAAATGAATGTCAAAATGGACAAATTAAATGAAATGTATACAGCAGTACATCCTGTTTAATTTGGGTATTCATTCTAACACAATAAAGAAAGGTTAGTCACGCATGCTTCAACAGTGGCTACTTAAGCGTTTGTATCGTGCCATCATAAAAGATGGCATTTATGCACAGTTTCACTTGACACAATATCCGTGAAACTTTTTTTCATAGTCACCTTAAGTAAACTTCAAAAATGAGATGTTTAGGGTGTTTATTTTTGTTTTCACAAATTAGGCAATGACTAGATGAGGAAAATCAAAACTAATTCCTAAGTGGAATTTGAGCCACTAAATCAAATTCACATGCAATTGGTGTAAGGTAAGAAATATAGCTAACTGACACTATCCGCATAAACCACTTTACTAAAATGGATTAGGTGCGTCAAAAGATGTTGGACTAAGGTAGTTTTTAGGAAACATGTATTTTAAACAGGCCTCATCAGCGAGATTCGTGCACTAAACATAACCTTAGATGTCATTATTGCAAAATCAGGGGTAGTCTGTAATTGCAAAGGTAACTTCACGATGACTTGGTAGAATCTCAACGCCTTGCATTCAATGTGGTACATTTATGATGGTTTTGAATAAAATAACATAATGTGCAGAAATTAAGATGGACTTTCTTCTTAAAATATTCACCTGGAGCAAGAAATTTGCCGAGAAAACCTAATCTGGCTATTATGAAAGGCAAATTTGCGTAAAGTTGATGCAGTACTGTTAGCTCGAAATGGTTTTGTATAAAACTGGAGCATAACTTCGTCCTCTTTGAAATTAGGCATTTCCAATTTAAGGGCCGACTTTGACAGTTGATGGCTTTTATATCTATTGCTATAGAATCAGTCATTACCCTTACTCTTTGATAACAACGAGTTGATTTCTTTTTCGAGTAATATAAAACCAAATCAATCACGCGTATTTTTAAAGTTAGTTGGATTTATGATCCGTGTGGTCAACGCAGTAAACAAATCTGTGCACAAAATACCCTTCTTGTTCAAATTCAGCGCACAATAATAAAGTTATCGGCATAAGTAAAGTTTGGAGTTCTTAGATTCAGGCCATTTAATACTTGGGTTGTGTGGGTGGCCTTAAATGACACCAGTGAATGCTAAATGCTGTCTGAAAATAAAACATCCCGTCTAGTTAATTCAGAAAACTCGGGCTTATGAATTTATTCGGTTTTATAGACTAAACGTTTGCAATAAGTGAAACGATCTCTGTTTCTCTGTCATTATTTTCTGGAAATTATACTAGGCATCCGTGTAAGGAAATACGTATAGCATAAATACCTAACTCTGATTCACTAAAGACAAACGTTTCAAGTTTCCTTTTGACAGCACTTAAAAGTCATGATTAGCATTCAGTGACAGCCATGTAGGTGTTCTGATTGTGATGTACATTAAAATCGTACTTTTTTACTAGTACCTACCGAAGCATGTTGGAGAAAGAGCAAAATTCCACTAGCACAGTGCGCTTGCTGTCTCCAGTCCATCCTGTCTATCTTGCATGACATCACATGCTTGTCTAATGGCAGTATCGATAAAAATTCAGATAAGTTGCACCTGCCGGATGCACATTTAAATGACAAATTGGAGGTTGGTCACATGTTTGTTACTAGTTATTCC